TGCCAATCTCATCTTATCGCATCCTCTAGTCAGTGATAAAGGCTAATCCGGGATCACTTGTCATGAGGAGGCCCGGAGCATGGATGTACCCCTCATTCCACCAGCAACCTGACGTCGTGGGCTCAGTCTCTCTTTCGCCTGTAAACCATTCAACAGTTGGGTATCGGTATCATCAGTGCAAGTTGAGTCCGACCTTTTGTGAGAAAATAGACCAATTTGCAGGATACAATTTGAAGGATACGCATCTCGTGGAAATACATCTGTTTAGCGACAGTATGGGATTAGTGACACGAATAGTGCTCAGTCGATGCGTCCGATCTTAGCAGTGGTTAAATGTCACATGAATGGTTCATAGAAAAAGGAGACTTCGCTGACATTGATTTTTCTTTCTGTCGACTTTTCGACATTATATCGAAATTAAGAACATGGTGGGGTTGTGTTCCTAAGTTCAAGAATGTCAAATTGTTCATGATCTATGCGACAAAAGAAGGTAGTAACCAAGTCATATTGTTACACAGCACTAGAATAAACGCTTATGTACCATGCGAAGACGAAAAAGTCACAGAGGAAGCAGGGAAAAATCCTTGAGCATGACCCGCTGAAGTTGCGAGAATGGCACCAATAGTCTAATCATCCGAGCTCCACGACCTCAGCTCAGGTAAATGAGGGGTACATCCATGCTCCGGGCCTCCTCATGACAAGTGATCCCGGATTAGCCTTTATCACTGACTAGAGGATGCGATAAGATGAGATTGGCAATATTTTGGCTTATAGCATCGAATTACGGTTATGGAAACAGTGCTACCTCGAATTTATGCGCATTTTCTGAGGGGCTCGAACTTAAGCAAATTACTCTAGCCTGAAAGTTATTTCCAGTATTGATATGACGTCAAATAGTGATGACCTGACCAAACACCTCGCGTTTTCTCGTATATCTTCCTTGATTCAGCGGGTGCAGGCATCATTCACAAAGAGGTTTTTTATATCAAAGCCAACGGGCGAGGCTCTACGAATTTATTTCAGAGGAACACTATGACTCCGCCGCCTTCAACACGAGGCCATGCCGATCGGAGTCGAGATGGACCGTGCTTTTGGTGAGACACCCTTTTCGGAAGGACCTGACAGTGTCGATGTCGAAGGCATTCAGGTCAGGAGCAAATCCAGCGTATTTTCCAGGCGGGACCCCGACGCAAATTCCATTTCCGTTGAAGTTCTTCGATCTGGCGGAAACAACCGGATTCTCGGCAGAGCGATCACTTCCAAAATTTATATCAACACAAAAATCGGAAACTCACGCATAGAGGGTCCAGAAACCTTGACCGGTGACGATGAAGGACCTGACCGTGGTCATCTCGCTCGGCACTTCCGTCGAGTCTCGAGCAGATTTCCGGATTATAGATGGATTTCCAATGCAATACTCAAAATAGGCATAAGATGGTGTTTATGTTCCCTGAACATTCTGACTCGAATCAGGACGTACCGGCCCTTAGGAGAAGAGTTTTCTTCCTTTTCCTGTATTCATCTCATCATGATACTTGTAAAGCAGTATTTGGTAAAAGTATAATTATCATGTTTCAATGGCAATCAATGATTCTGGGAAATTTTTAATGCTGGGGTTTTCGCACGAGCACAGATAAGTGTGAACTAACAGGTTAGAAGTTTTTTTTCGAACTTTCAATGAAATTGAAAGATTGTCCTTACAATCAAAGCGTGGAGAGATTAACTAGAGGCGGCACTTCGAGGGTAGGCGAGGGTCGAAATATCGCAGAGGCATCTAGTGACTTGTTATCAACCACACTTCCGAGGGGCGTGCTTCTTGGCAACGGAATCAAGAATTGACTCGTTCAGAGATTCGACCCAAAGGGAGTTCTCGACGTAACACAAGTGTCTTGCTGAGTCCGCTGTTCGGCCATGGAGGAGTTGATGTGCGCACGCTAGGTGGAGGATCGACAGCGACATCTATATTGTGACCTTGTCAATGAATAGGATTCGAGTGGAGTGTCGCTTCTAGTTACACCATCTACTCAAGGACAGTGTGGACTTGGACCCTACTGTCTCCATGATTAACGAGTGAAGGCATGAGAGAGCCAGTACGTCCTGTTGCGTCGTGAACACATTGCCGAACTGTCACCGTCTTATCTGTGACTGTTCGCCGACTGTCGGAGACGTGGTGCCGGATGATGATGTCATTGAAGCTCACTTCAAAGTTCCTCAAAACTGAAAATTGAGATTCATAAGCAGATCCTTCAAGCGCCCTTAAGCCCGAAACGAGGTACACATGGGATTCTAAAAAAAAGGCATCGTCCGTACCTTCTGAATAGAGATAAGAAAGATACACATTCGCACCTTATTTTGCTTCGGTACCTTTTCAACGAACGTATTTTACGACACACGTTTGTACCTCTTAAAATATTCACCTCACTTTGCATTTCTGCTTTGCTGTGCAAGCAGACAGAAGACCGAAAGGAATATTCCCAAACCCGTCAGTGCCTTCGCATCGAAGAACCAGTCCAAGTCAGTCCCAGCGAGACCTTGACTTCATTCTTTACAGAAAGAGTTAGGTCCGAATGCTGGAACCTCCTTTTGGAGAGATATTCGTAAAGGGCGTCCTTGAGCTAAAGAGATCTTTTTCACCATAGAAGAGGATGGGTTAGACTAGCATACTGGCCAAAAATTCCTCCCTTCTCCCCCCCCCCCCCCATCCCCTCCTTCCCTTTCCCCTTTTCTTCCTCTCTCTGCCTTTTCTGAGCTCGGAAATACAAGAGAATCTTTCGCTTGGAAGGAAATATTTTTTTCAACAATCATTTTCCTTCAACTTGAGGAAAGAAGGAAGTGTGGGTTTGGACTCGTGGGGTGGGTGATTGGAAGCGGGGATGTGTTTTAGAAGAGCGACTCCTGGAATATCAAGCTCAGCAAAGGCTGTTCTAAGATTCCACATGGATTCGTTTGTACCAATTGGAATTTCGGTCCACCATGCAGAAGGGAGTGCTTTCACGGAATCAGCAAGAAAGAATTTTTGATCTGGTAGACATCTGCAATTTCATATTGAAATGCTACCAAACGAGGAAGATTCTTGTCTTACTTTCCTGAAATATACATTCGAAGAAATAATTGACTGGAGCTTTTGAGGAACAGTCCCGTCCTGTTTCAATATTTATGAGTCTCTTACCCCATTGTTCTTTCGAGATCACTAATACGATGTATGGAATCGGTTGCAAGAATTTACCGTTCGAACCACTTAAAGGAACTTATAAGTTTTTCATTTCAGAGTTTTAAAGATGTGGAATGTTTTTGTTGGAGACGATACACGACCGGCCGGACGAGATCCCTGTCGATCGTGAAATGGTTTTGCAACGGTAATTCTCTCGAACGACATCGCGGGAATTCGTCATGATTCTTTCTGGCAAGGTTCCGCGGAAGCTCCATCGACCTCACGAGGAATTTCCCTGGGTTCAAATTTCTTCTGCGGATCTAATTGGAAGGGAAAGAATCCTCGATGTGAAGATTTCTTCCCGTTTCCCTGCGTTCTTTCGCGTCTTTCCAGGCCCCCGATACAGTTCATCGTTCCTTCGTGCTCTTTTCTTCCAGTTGGATATTCTACAGCGAAGCCTACTACAACAGTGATAACTTTGGAGGAGTGGAATGGATCCACGGGGACGACTTCTGCTACAACCTTGGGACGACAAACAACCAAGTCTCCTCTCTCAGGTGAGCTATCGCGATCCTCTGGACTATTTCGTTCAGTCGGCTGCCTCGTTGGGGAAAGCTTTCTCTTCCAGGTATGCAGGCGATACGAACGATTGGAAGTTCGATTCCATCACGCTCTTCCAGTTTGATCTGTTCTTCGGGTTGGAATACTTCGAGTGGGCGGACACGACCGATGTGCAAGGGATGCCCGCTGTGGGGTCCCTCATCATCACGGGTCAGAATTATTGGACCGTATACTCGTGAGTAACCTCTTCTGCCCGATCCGAATTTTTTTCCCGCGATGTTGAAAATTCTGTGGTGCGTCCTCTAGGTCGACAAACTTCAGCGGGAACCGAGTCTGCCTCGGGGTCCAGTCGGGACAATACGTGGGATTCGCTGCGGATCTGAACGAGTACGGTATCACCACGGTCAGGTCGTTCCGACGAGGGTGCTTCAGCGACGAAAAGATCCATCTCAATTCGGATCAGCACGGCGTCGTCTCCAAGATCAAGGAATGATTTCGCATCTCGCCCATCTTCCTTAGAAATAAAGTCGTGGAGCCTCGCATTCTGGCGGTTTTTTTTTCTTCAAATCGTTGCCAGATTCCTGCAAGCACTGCATTCCTGATGTCTGCGGTCGGAAAATTTCCACAACAGAAAGTAGCATTTCAAAATGCAAACAATAACCCAGTCAATAAAAGGTTAGCTATTATGTTCTCCCCACAGCTGGAAAGGTTGGCTCGTCGGCGAACGATCGTGCCGACCGAGTCCCACCTGTGCCATCGTTCCCCCATCCATCGGCCTTTCCTCTGGAGTATCCCAGCCCAGGGATACTCCAGGCAATTCCGACCCG